TATATATATATATATATATATATAGGGCCCCCATATACAGTATTGACTCCAGCCCATGGGCCCCCATCCTGACTCCAGCCCAGGGGCCCCCATCCTCCTAAATCCGGCCCTGCTTCTGAGCATAAACATACAGTTGTGAAAATGATATGAAAAATAAATTTAAAATTTCCATAATAGAATCTACATAAATATGTATTTACAATTATTGAACTGTCTCAACAGTCAGAATTTAAGCTGACATTTCTATCTCATTCAGTCATTTGCTATTAACAGTCTGGAAGGTAATCACGCATGCGCAGTAGTAGCATCGAGAAAGGATGGAACGATTACGTTTGTACTGGCAGAGCGCGAGCGCACCGCTGGTCCGCGTAGCTTAGTCCGAGCCGTGCGTGTCTTTGATCTAACATGAAGCAGTTAATACAGAGATAGATTTTTTTCAAACACAACAGTTCGTGGAAACCCCGCTTTCTCGTCTGCCGTGAAGCGGTTGTAACACAGGCGGTGAGTCGGGTTCTGTTGCTGGGAGGAGACCGCACGGATTCGCCTCCCTGGCTAACATTATTAGCTGGCTACGATGCGTCTCTGCGGCTGCTGCTGGATCTTCAACACAGCGGACCTCTTCGCAGCCACGCAGGTCTTTGGTTAACCGTTTACACGGACGGGACGAAAGGGTGACTCGGGAATACTCAACACCTTTGAAGGTAATGTTCCATCGGGCCAACGTCACTCATGGGTCCAGCGAATGGTGCTGAACAGTTCAGCAAGCTAACGGTTGGCTAGCTTTAGTTAGCTGTTATTCATTTGCATATGGATAGCTGTATTATTAAGTAAGGGAAATGTTCCTGTTAGCTGACGTTTGTCGCCTCATTTATGGGCTTTTTGAAACACCGTCACAGATTATTCATGGCATTTACCCAGCTAGCTAATTCGTAGCATTTACCCATCTTATCCAGGAATCCACTGTTACTGGTAGGCCGTTAGGAGAAGCATACTGGAGGCGATAACGCCAAAATAAGGCTACAGGTTATAAAATAAATTAATCTGGGGTTAGACAAATCTGCTCCTGGGTTTAAAAACTTAAACAGACGTTGGCATCTTAGTTTTAACAGGTAGACAACTATGTTTTCCCTGTCGCCATAAATTACAGTTTGTAGAAATTCACCTTAAGCAGGGATTGCACCTATTATTAAGTTAAACCAGTAACACCAGGCCATGGCTCACAAAAATAAACAGGAAAATCGAGCTTAAATTGAAAATTCCAATTGTGTTTCATTTCAGAACACAGATAATTATAATTAATTCAGCATTAAGTTGATCTAAAGTTACATGTGCTACAAAAACCAACACACATTCCCAAAAAATCTTAAGCTAAAGACTAAAGCTTAAAAAAGAAGTCACATTAATAGAACATGTATTTGTTTGGAGTTGGTTTTATTGGTCACTTAAACTAAGGTTGCTTTTTTGGTTTGATTATTTTGCTTGATATTTGAATTCATATTTAACTAGTTTCTTTGTGTTTTACTTTGATATTAAAGATATGTTGTATGGCTTGGTGACATTGATAAAAAGGCAGGAGACGAAACTGAAATCAGCAGAGCTGAAGATGTTGAGGTTCTCCTTGAGAGTGACGGAGATAAGATTAGGAATGAGATCGTCAGAGGTACAGCACACACAGGTTGAATAACTGGGAGATAAAGGTAGATGCCAGACTGAGATGGTTTGGACATGTCCAGAAGAGGGACAGTGTGAATATATGGGAAAACGAATGTCAGAAATGCAGCTGCCAGGAAAAAGGGTAAAAAAGAAAATACATGGCTGCTGTTAGAGAGGACATGGAGGTAGTTGGGGCGATCATGGAGGAGGATGACTCACTGTGATGACCGCTGAAGAGGGAACAGTCCAAAGATGATTAACGAGTTGACTAGTGGTCCTTCAATCCTGATCCTTGAGGGCCACGGCCATCCTGCATGTTTTAGATGTTTCTCTGCTTCAACACCTGATGTGAATGAATGAATGAGTAATTAACAGATTTCTGCAAAATTTGAAGACCTGCTGGAGAGCAGAGAAACAACTAAAACATACCACCACCAGACCAGGACTGAGGACTACTGGAGTAGACTATCATCATATATTTTATTATATATGTAGAGTAGTGCAGTTTATAATGCACAGTGTTACTTCTCAAGTATATATATATATATATATAGTTTTATTTTCCCTGAATAATTATACGAACATCAGATTCAATGAGCCTTTGCCCCTTACAAGTGAATTTCAAGGGTGTTTACAACTTATGGATGGCTCATCCTGTCATTTTGTCATGGTTTTACTCTGCAACATGTTCTGTCTAATGTACATTTTAACAGTATGTTATGTTTTCAAGGATGGATGCTGACACGTGTGCTGGTGGGGACGGTGCTAGGAAAAAGGCAGAACTGGCTGGGGCTGCAGAAGGCACGATGGATGTTGTGCCTTTGGAAATGTATGACTCCGCCAGAGCAAAAATAGCTGCCAACTTGCGGTGGCTGTTTGCTAAAGCCTATGGAATTGGTAAGTTGTTTAATTTTAATTAATTCTGCTTTACCGCCAGTTATTTTTGTTGCTTACTTTATACATTTACACACAGCTCTGTTGCTTTGTTTTAGCATTACAAACTTAGATGGTTGCTAATTTCTGACCACAGATTTAAACACAACCTGGGATTATTCTTGAGAATTTGCAGCAAATTTACCTCGTCATCTCAATAAGTCTGTTGTTGTTGAAACCAACATTCTCAATTCACTGATAGTCAGCAAAGTGCGTGACGCTTCAGCAGAAAAACACTGACAAGTAAAAGCCCAAGAGAAACAAGCGTACGTGTGTGTGTTAGTTATATGCACTTTAACTCTCACCTCCCCATGACATTTGGCAACCAAAACCCCCCTCACTGACTCACCTGATCCTTGAATTCTTGTATGGTTCCCAGTGAGACTGAACCCAAATCAGGCCGAGTGATGAGGATTAGGCTATATTTGTTACACTGCTCAGTGTGTGGAAAATACTGATCTGCAGTGCCAGAACTTCACTCCCCCTGTTTGTTTGTATCAGCATTAGTAAATATGCCATTTTGCCATTTCCCTATCTTTTCTATAGCTGAATAGATTTAGGGAGAAAATGTAAAAAAATAAAGAACCTTTTGTCAAAACTTTACATATGTGTCAAACTCAAGGCCCGGGGGCCAAATGTGGCCCTCGTTGTCATCGTGTCTGGCCCCCAAGCTGATATTTTAAATGTAAAATACTTTTATCACTTTAATTTGTTCAGTAATCTTTGATTATGATGTCAAAAGTGCAGCAGGGAACGTCAAATGAGACCAATCCAACTCGTGTTGAGGAACCTGCAACCAAGAAAGTATGTTGGGTATCTAACGTGAGTTAATGTAGATTCTGAAACCGGCCCTTAGTTTGAAAAATGTTTTAATTCCGGCCCCCTTTTGTAAGTGAGTGCGTCACCTGCTTTAGAACAATCAACCTGTTACAAAACATTTTACTACCTTACCACAAACCTTTTGTTGTACTCCACTTTTTTAACCAGGTGTATTTAGTTGTTTTGTGACCAGGCTTTCAAATTCTTAATTTTATTTCATAGAAATGCGGTACATGTTTAATAATTATTTCAGACTTGCCGTTTATAAGTTACAACTGGCTAAATTAGGATGGATGAAAAGTCACAACTTTGTGACAGTTAATCCAAAAAAACAAAACAATTTGGACTTCTCTTACGTAGCTGAAGATTTTTAGCTTCTCACCCGGGAAGCTTTCTCCATTCAAAACTGGAGATTGTGGCGTTCATGCTGTTATTCAAGCTAAACTCGAGATTTATCTCACACCCCCTCTCAGTGGAGAGAGGTCATGGTTTTCGTTTGCCTGGCTCATAAGAAATGTTTTAGTCACATGCGTGACGGTCTGAATTGACGGGTAACTGACCAACATTCAGATGTAATGCTCCTTTGTACGTTATAGAAAGATTAAATTTGCGTTCTCATCCTAGTTGTTTCTTCTCGTTTGTCATAAATGTTGTCCTTAACTCCCTTTTAAACCATCTGTCTTCTCTGTTCAAAATATTAACACAAAACTGTGTCCCATATCCATAAGGTGTAGGTGTACAGCTGTCTTGTCCTGAAGAGCTGGCTCTCCTTTGTCGAGCCATGTGTCTGTGGAGAGGTTCTGTCCTTAGGATGGACCAGACTGTTAGGTTTGAAATGCACCAGTATGTTGTGTTTTGGAGAAAATCCTCCTGCGTTTCTCAGATACACTAGCAACATATGGCAGCACTGCGGCTCAGTAGTTGGCACTGTTTCTTCACAGCAAGAAGGTCCTGGGACCTGGAGTGTTTCTGTGTGGAGTTTGCACGTTGTTCTTGTGCTTGCATGGGTTTTCTCCGGGTACTCCGGTTTCCTCCCACAAACCAAAAACATGCATGTTAGACTGCCTTCAGGCCCAGACCTCCCTTGCAAAAGAGATCTGTGATCTCAGTGGGATTTGCCTCTGATGCCTGGTTAAATAAAGGTTAATAAATAATAAATATATTTCTTGTCTGACTTGACAAAAGCCCAGTTAGGATTATCCACACACATGTGGAGCGTGTTTTTGATGTGTTTCTGCTCCTTTTCCATCCTTTCTATCTTCGTTTATATATGTTCAACCCAGTGATGGCAAAAAGTTTCTTCCAGTGGGTGATGAGTTTAAAGCTTGGAGCTTTAATTGAGAAAACTATCTGTATTGGAAGTGAAATATCTTTAATTTCAAAATAGAAGTGCAGTTGTTTTTGCTTTTATTTATTTATTCTTTGGGATTTGCCATGTCCTTAATGACTGAGAATCTACACATTTTGTGATGTTCCTTTTAAAAACTTGCTAATTTTGTTGGAAAATTTAGTTTATAATGAGGAATATGTTACATTTAGCTAACCTTCAATGTTAGACGAAATATGAATATAATGTACCCATTATGAAAACTGACTAATACAATAATTTCTTGTAGAAACTCATTAATTAGTTTTGATGTTGTTGAACAAATGATGCGTGGAACTTGTAACAGATTTTTGCTTGTAACAGTTAGTATTTTATGGTAGTGCTTTATTTATTTATTTAGGCGTTAAAGTCTTTGTAAAATGTTAAAGATTAAATCCTTGTTGAAACACTGGATGTGTCCTTTATATGAACTGAAATTGCTTGACAGTGTGGCTGATGGTTAATCTTTGGTTGCTGCAAATGCTATAATTTTTAAAGAATATCCTGATGCATGCTCAATAATCCAGGTAGAAAAATGTAAAAAAGTTAAGTCAGGTCCTTTGAATATTAAATTGTAGAAACGTTTCGTCTTTCATCTGAAAGACTTCTTCAGTCCGTGGAGCTGTATTCAGCTCGGTCTTATAAATGGCACCTTCTTCTAATTTTTAAAGAAGGATTGCAAGTGAACGTGTATTAACATGATGTCTTCTTGTAATAGTAATGCTATCTGATGCACAAGTCCCAGAGTTTAATGTTTTGCATATCTGTTTCAACAGCATAGTCTCTGGTCAAATCATCTTCCATTGTTACAGAGCATAGAGTTACAGATTATAATGCGCATTTATTTGTACCCTGTTCCTAGATCTCTGTGTTTAATACACTGATTTCTTAAAGTTACTGAAACATATGCTGAAAACAAATTATGAAATGTGTTATTGATAGAAAGTTATGTGCTTTTGTTGTAGCCCAGAGGTTTATGACGGCTCTGATTTCTTTTCTAAACACGCTGAGCTTTATACCAAGGCTTGCATGCATTTGCTTGGTCTTGTTGTTTGTCATAGGCCCTGACCAAAGATGCAGGCTGAGAGATGGATAATAGGAGCATCTTTCCACAGAAAAAAGATACAATTCAGCTTTGATTTAGATAGTTATGTTGCAATACAAAGCACAATTTCAACGCCCAGAGGGTGGCAACTCTCAGGTGCAGCTGCAATTATCTTCCTCCCATGGGTACTTATTAATTAGGCTCTCATTATTTATTCCTATAGCTCATATGGCATCTGCCACAATGCTAATGCTGCGTTGGTACTTTGCTTGGTTTGCGCAGACATGAATAGTAGTGTGTATAGGGATGTTGTCACGTGTGAATTGTTGGGGATTCAGATGCATTTGATATGCACTTGTCTGTGTATTTCCCCTGTTTGAATTCAGTGATAGTACAAGTCTGTCTTTGTGTACATTCTGTTTCGTACGGTTGCCCTCTGCATGTGCCACAGCTGCTCCCAGCCTTAGCAACAGACAGCCAGACACCAACACTGGAGAGAGCGAGAACCTGTCATAGTTGCAGGCACATTACAGCCCCCTGTTCTGTCCTGCTCGTGCTGATCATGGCATGGCACCGGTCATGGTTGGATGACAGCAGTGTAGAACATCCTGGGTCTTGTTGCCAGGCTCCATCATCATGCTCCACCCCACCCCAGTTAGTAAATTTTTCAGTCTGCTCTGGGTTGCAGGAAGGTGGGAGCAGCTGCCACGAAACATTAGTGTCTGTAGACTGAAGTCAAACGTGAAGACACACCTCACCAAGACCCCTTTGTTTTCAAACACAGCAGCACCAACTATTATAGTGTTTTTGCTCCCAGTCTCTGCAGGAATGAGACTAACTGCTGGGTGTTAGCGAAAAGAGCTTAATCCTGTTTACAACAATATTCTCATTGTCACATTATGTTTTGAAACCAGACAGAACAAGGGAATGAGGCCTGTGTTGCAGTGTATATTTGATGGGACTTGAGAGCATCAACATATAATTATAGTAAGATGTCTAATATGGCTTATTAAATGGGGGCCGAGATGGGACAGAGGCAGGGCAGCCGACTCGGGACCTGAAAGTCCAAGGCTTGATTCTCAGCCATTCCCACATGTTGTGGTGTCTGAGCAAGACACCCAATCCCTATTTGCTCCCCGGGCGCCTACATAGCTGCTCACTGCCCCACCTGGGTGCATCCCAGGTGCGATGGGTTAAATGCATAGAACCAATTTCGCCATTGTATGAGAACATACAATGAAAACAACACATAACACTTTACATATTCAGCTGGAATTTGTATGTACATTTATGCCATTAATTCTTACAATAAATCATCTGTGCATTAGCAAAGAGATTTGAGTCACAAGATTAATCATTTTTTTTTTATAGTTTTTAAACCCAAAAAGTAATAAAAACAAAGGCACAGTATTAAAAATGAAAGATGCATTTTAATGATGAAGACCATGAAAACAAAATTGGAATAGCATTCTCAGTTATATCTTTGGCAACATAAATGTTATTATACGTCTACTTTTATGGGACTCAGCTGTGTGTGTTAAATTTAGCTGAATCTTTTAAGGTTTCAGTTTTTATTAAAATTTCATTTCATCATAGTTTTTAAATATTTGTCAAAGCCTGACGTGTTGCTTCCTTATGTTTATAATTTGGTTTTTTATGTTATCAACTAAAAATCTAGCCAGAATAAGTTTTTGCTTTCTGTCTGCAGATTTTATGAATCAAGAACATTCAGTTCAGACAAGAACAGTCTTTCTTCAACCCTTTCTTATCCCTTCACCCAATGCTCTAATACTACTTGAGCAGTGGCAGTCTTCCTAACAGATTTAACAGATCAGGGTTGTTTTTATCACCACTTCATTCTATGCAGCTCAGTTTGTTGGAGGTATTTGGCGCATTGTTTTACGTCTTTTTACATTTTTATCTTGCTGTATAAACTTGGTTTGGGTATGCCTCTAGTCAGCCGCTTTAATTTGTGCCCTTACATGGCTCTGGTGTTCGGTTTTGAGAATGACTTCACATATACAGCATAGAATTGCCTCGATTAGTCACTATTTATTTATTTATTTATTTATTTTTTTTGTGTGGCTCCAAAACTTAAGTTGGCACTGTTACCTGAGAAGCATTTTCTCTCTGCAGACTTGGATTTTTGGCCCAATCTTCTCTTGAACCATTGTGCTATGACAAAAAATTACAAATGGTTGTGTTTACTCAAAGTGAACTGAATCTGGCGAAAGTCAAACATAGCATGGACGGTTATTTGCTGTATTGCCATTTTGTAGCCTGAAGCTGACCGGCACCACAGTTGACTTTTTCTTCCTCCATTCATTATTTTTAATGTAATGATACCTAGCCCGTACAGTATTTCTTTAGTTTGTCTGTATATGTTAGCCAATGCTAAAATGTTTTTTTAAGTGCCACACAGTTCGCCTACTCACTAAATTTCTCCATTACAGACCATATTCCAGAAGACTTAAGGGACCCGTTCTACACAGACCAGTATGACCAAGAACACATCAAACCACCTGTCATTCGTCTGCTTCTGTCCTGTGAGCTTTACTGCCGTGTTTGTGCACTCATCCTCAAGACGGAGCAGGCTGCCTCTCTTCAGTCTCACCTGTCAGTCATTCAGGCTCTTTCCAGAAAGGGCATTTATGTCATGGAGAGTGATGATACACCTGTCACAGATGGGGACCTGGCATGCATGCCCATCAAAATGGTGAGTCTTAATGTGTTGAAAGTTAGGATAAACACATTTGAGAAGAACCACTGTGGGTTCTCTTTGACAATTTCATTTTTAGGCTGTGATTTAACAGCTGCATTTATGAAATGTTACCTGTAGTACAGACTGTTCAATCAAATAAAGTCAGAATATATAACTTCTTTTTTCATTCATTCAACCTTTACTCATTATTCAACTTTTATAAGTCACATTGAGCCTAGAAGACTCATTTACAAGTGAGAGCTGTTTAGACACACAAAAAGTAGTGAAACTGGACACATGTAGGAATTGGAGGCGTCAAGGCAATGGGAGCCAAATTCAGATAAACACAGTTGTTTTGGGGACAGGCAGAACTTAATGACATCTCCCTTGAGTCTGTGTTGGTCCAAATGGTTCCGAAATGTCCAAATTACATGGCCCCACCGATGGAAACGTGCCTGAGTAAAATCCCAGAGATCTGGTCCATTCTGCCCAAAGCATTTGAGTCTGGGTACTCGAGGCACGAACCAAGCCATCATAAAGGCAAGCAGCGTGATTGGGTCCCAATTTGCTGCCGACAACTTTCTTGATTGTAGATAAAACCAGCAACCAGCCGAATCTAAAAAGCAGGAACTAGTTATCGTAAATCCAATTAAATATGCGTCCTTAAAGTCCACAAATGGCAGCAGAGATAGACACATCATCAAGTCTGTAAGTCAATGAGATATCCAGCTGCGTGTGTGCCAAAAGGGAAAATCGGCTCGCCTAAAACCTGTCTTCTCTTTGAAGAAATGTTATCAATTGTGTTGAGGGACCAACTGATCAAAACAAGTCCATAATTATGGTTCGGAAGATTTGTAGAGAGAGGCTCAGAAGCAGTTTCACAGACAGACAGAGCAGCAAAGCAGAGAGGGAGTGAAAGGGAAAAGTGTCCGATCTCGGCAAGAGCAAGTGGTGAAATTAATTGTATTCACTTTTTTTTCTTCTTATGTTTGATGCATTATCTTAACTTAGTAAAACCAGTTAAAGTTCAGTGCAGTACAAACTGTGCTTTTATTTTCATTCAGTAGTGCCAATAAACCATTCTCACAAACTTTTCAGATGTTTTGAAAATCGTATCAGCTTTGTAAAGGAGCTTATAAATGGGCATATAAATCTTGTTTTTCTTTGCAAATCTAGACTCAAACTTTGCATAAGAGAGTTGTGGACATAGTTAACTGCTTGTTGGGACATACTCCCATGAGATTTGGCTGCACTCTTATCGTTTCTAGTCAAATTAGGAATTTGGCTGTCATGCTAGCTGTACAGGGGTCACAATAGACTTAACACAATCATTTTTGCGTTGCACACTTACGGTAGCTTGTCAGTATTCATCTATTACATAATGTGGTTAATTGAATTAACTGTGAACCAGATATAATTTTTCCATTTTTGTTTTATGACCAGAAAAAGTCATTTTTGAATTCCAGATTTCAGAGTGTTGTGAAGGCCAGCACCTCTTGAATGCATTTTGTAACTACATCATTGCGGTCTTCTGCATCCTAATGCATCTTATAATCAAAACATTTCACACTTCCATGTATTTTTTTCATGCCATTCACCCTCAGCTTCTAGTTTATATGATATTGTTTTTTTTTTCAGACAATAGCTGTAAGTCTATTTTTGCCTCTTGGCAAAGAAATTCTAGAGTGAATTGAACCCTAAATAATTTGGCAGTGTATGTGTTATTGTCTGTCAGCTGCAGCATGCTTGCAGGTGTTAGCATCTGTACAACTACACAGGCGGGGCTTTGTGTGATATGCTCACTTATCTGTGACGTTAACTTGCTCCTGTTTTATCATACATATAAATGGACAATTCCTAATTCCGAATACTTAACACTTTTTAAATATGACCAGTGAATCGTTTTTGTTTTGCACAAATGTATTACTAATTAAAAGGATGAAAAATTAGGAGTATCAAAGAAGGCTAAATTAAAAAAAAGTGAACTTGAGTTTTAGGTGTAAATTTATTTTCTAAGTTATGCAAATTGTGCATATTGTTCCATAGTACTCGGGACTTAAAATACTGACAACTTTTATTTGTTTCTTTGCTCTTCGGCACTTCACAGTAAACCAAATCTGCAGGCCTTCTCTGCGTATTTTATTAACCTTTATTTAACTGCTACACAGTGTAGCAATGAGATCCTGTGTCTCAAACTCTCACCAAGAGCACTTCACACAGGACAGGATGAACACAAACCAGCTCACTTGCTGGCCAGTATTCCTCTCCTCTTGTTGCCATGGTAACCGACAGTACTGTAGAGCAGGTCTCGACACGCAGTCTGTCTAGTAGATGATGTGCTTCAGCTTTTCCTGCTAGCAGTCTGACAAAATAATCCACATTGGCCTATGTGTAAGCAACCAGACACAAAGCCCAGTGACGGGATGAAAAGTTATAAGCTTAGCTACGGTAGACTGTTGAACTGCTCCTCCCGGTTTGCTGATTTGACATGTTTCCATAGCAACCTGTATTTTCATACTATTTGAGAGTCTCTGTGAATGAATGTGATCCTATACTTACAGACAGTACGTCTGCACCTTTTCAGACTTGTTTTGGGGCAACAGTTGAGGCTTGTTAGACCTTGAAGCTAGCTTGTCTCTTGGGTCAGCTTGAACTGTTTTATATTAGTGTTGTGCACAGAGGATGGTAGTGTGCACAACTACTGCTTGGGGCAAACTGCTCCCTGTTGGACTGCATGCTGGTCTGATAAGGACAGCATGCTGGAGAACAAAGGATGGAGCAGTGCATCATGATGTTTCACTAAATTACACTTTCATATTTTCTTTAGTGCTATGTTTTTCAGGTGTTAAATACAGAATGTGCTGTTTTTTAAAAATTTAATCACAATGTTGCATATTTATATTATATACCGGTAAACTCCAGTGTTTTTCATGTATGTGTTTTTTAGATTTGAAACGTAACATTTTGAATTTCACTTGCACTCTAGCTATTGGTAAAAACAAATTTTGATGAATGATCCAAATGAATAATTTTAATGAGTGAAGGAATAATTTGTAACCAGGTTTGTAAGTGCACTGGCACACACAAGTGCAACAGTTTGGTTCTCATTAACCTTAACTCAAAATAAATGAAAGAATGTTGATTATGAGCAGAGACCAGCCCAGCTAAAGTAAATGTGGCATGGCACATCTGCATTCACTCCTTGGGAAAACAAAACACCTTTGCATAATAGAAGCCTTATGAATGAATGACAAGTAGAATTTGAGCAATCTTCAGCTTTCTATGTTATAATCTCTCTATTATATATATATATATATATTTTTCATTGGGCTCTAATGTTGATGTTGATTTAGGGAGTATATTTTCTGTGTGTGTCCATATGAGTCACATTGTGCAGAATGCTTCAAATAGTTTTCATTTACTGTGTGAACAAGTCTATTCTCTGTGCACTTACTTCACCAATTGGATTAGGCTAGGCAGCATGTTGCACAAATCATTGATTATAATAATGCTTTGTTTATTGTATTTTTTTCTGAAATAGTTTTGAGTTGAAATATTGGCAGTGTGATAACCCAAAATAATGTGATATTAAGATTTAAAGACTTTATCAGTATTTAGTTTTTTCCTACTGGGTGTGAGATCTAATAGTATTTGACCGGTACTAAATCCCAGCTCTGGCGGTCAGTGTTTTGACTGGCAAAGGTTAGGTGTCAAGCCTAAGACTTAGAATGCTCCATGCTGAGCTTTTTGATTGCAAAATAATGTGGCGAGCTGGTTGAACACTGGACATATTGTGAGCTGAGAAAGATTTGATTTTTGATTAAGCTATTGTGGTTATTCAAGGCTACATAAGGCCTCATTATATGATTACAGCTATAATGAACTGTAATGAATGATTAAAACTCGATAAACTCTCATCCTGTACTTTTTCTGTTTATCCAGGCGTCTTTGTGACTACTGCATGCCCAAAATTCTCTCAGCCATTAACTGAAAAAGCTTATGTATTTGAAACTTTGGTGTAAAGTGGCCAACCTTGAATTTTAGATCAGTTCAGGTAGAATACAAGTCTAAAAATAAAGAACATCTAAAATGTTGTTTTACTTTAATTTTAAACCTTAGTTGTTGTTTTTTTTACAACAGAAATGTATAATGACATATGTGCACTAGGTTGCATTAGAGCTGCTTGTTTAATTTTAATTAAGTTAGTAACCAGGAAAAGCAAACCAATCAAATTAAATTATTCTGTTTCTCTGTCACCCAGAGCGCTCACATGTCCATGATCGATGCCCTCATGATGGCTTACACAGTCGAGATGATCAGCATCGAGAAAGTGGTGGCTTCTGTCAAGCGCTTCTCCACCTTCAGTGCCTCTAAGGAGCTGCCCTTTGACCTCGAGGACGCCATGATCTTCTGGATCAACAAGGTTAAGACATAAAAAAATTAAAGAAACACAGCATATTGCTATTACGTTTGACCATATGTCTTGTGTTGCTTTGAGCTCTTTAAAACAAACAAAGCTAAAGTAGAACTTGTGATTGTGGGCTAAATGTGTAAAATACCTGTTCAGTGATTTACTGCATCAGTAATTCTCTAGAAGTCTTTATGATAAACCTATTATGTTGTCAAAGATGTGTATGTATTTTTAGGAGGGGGGGGCATGACCCGAGAGAACTATCAAACACGTCCAGTTGAAAATAATTTTCCAAAGATTTTGATTTTTTTTTTTTTAATTCAGGATCTTCATTTTTTTGTTTCTTCTCATAATTTTTTTCTGCAGGTGAACATGAAAATGAGGGAGATGACAGAAAGGGAGCACAAAGTCAAGCACCACCCCCTGGAGTCTCCAAGCCACCAAAAGGTATTTCCTTTCTGTGTGACTTCAAATTACTTTCCAAAAATAAAACAACACTTTAAATGTCGTGCCAAATGAGTTTCTTTGTAAAAACTAATTCTCATTTTCTCATGTCCAGCTGGGTTAACCCTAACCCTTGTATTCAAGACAGCAGCAGCTTTTTTTGTTTTATGGAAAATGTCCCTTTGTTTGAGAGTTCAAGAAATCAGATCCTCTTTTTTTTCCCTCCTCTGATTATTGTGGAAGCAGATCTGATCCTTTTGCTGGTGACCTCTGACTTGTTGATCTCTCTACTCCTGTTCATGATCTATCCCTTCCTCCCTTTTATCCCTGCAAACTGGATAGTCTCCCTCCAAATGGTATTGGAAGCTAGTCCCTGTAAGTTTGATGCTAGCCCCCATACAACCATTCTTACCCTCCTTATCCCGCTTGCACGAATAGTTTTGTGTTGATGTGTGCGCACACTCCACTATGGCTCATTCAAGCTCATTCTGTGCTGCAGCCTGTAGCCAGTGTTTCATTAACAGGGGAGAAGACCGACAGTTCCCCCGTTGTGACAAATGTCACACAGGTGTAGTTATTCCAACTTTGTTCTTAGATTCAAAAGATTTCCTTTGCTACATAATGTGCTACCTCATTTCAAGCTCAACTTGGCCATGTGGATTCTCTGTGCGTAAGTGTATGTGGTTATTTGCTTGTCCAGTGAAAGTTGAGAGCAAACCCATGCCCACACCACTCCCTTGCTTTGCTGACCCATCCTTGGCTACCACTTCTCACTGATCCGCTTTATCATTCCAGTGCCTCTATTCTGTTTTCACTCACTGTTATGTGTCAAAGGCCTCCAGTGACAGTATCTCTGCTCTGTGTGTATCAGCCTGACGTCGTGCCTGAGCTGGCCCACTGCATGCTGGAGCCACAGGAGCTCTCTGAAGTGGTACAGTTATGTCTTGGTCAGGGGAAGACTCGCCTGGGTAGAACCTCCAGTTTAGCTGTTAGCCTCTCCTTGTGAAAGGTTGTCTACGGTTATGTGTAGTAACTTTTTAGAAAGACTAAAGTTTGTGATTCAGAAACTTTTAATATCATTCACTTTGGTCATGGTGTGCTGATTGTAGTCCTACATAGTTCCTAGTGTTTTTGTAGGCTTGAATTTAATGTGTTTTGACACCTCTACTCTTGAGTTTAGATTGTATCTTTTTGTATTAAAAGCTTTAATTTTGTTTAACAGTCCCCCCCCCCCCCCCAATGGTTTATTAATGACCCCTATGAGGTTTGTTGCAGTTCTTTAAAACAATTGTGAAGTGAAGCTGTGATGTTTTCTGTGCATGAAGTCAAATAAAGTGTATTCCCTTAGTTTTGATTAAAATAGATTTAATTAACAGATATAGCTTATAAAACCCTCCTCACTGGGGGTACATTGACCTCTTGCCTGAGGTCAGTGTATGAAATTATGCATCTTTTATCTCTTACCTTCTTGCTAAAGAAACATTGACTTTTGATCAGACAATGCTAATACGGTACAGTGTGTAACTGCATGGCCTTTTTATTCAACATTTTTCTAAAGCGAGTTTGAACTTATTCATCTTTAACAACTTCTACAGTAAATATAAGATTTATTTTACTCATGAAGAGAAAATATGAATGTCTAAGTTGCACACAATCATTACCAACACTATTTATAATCACTAATTTACTTTGAGGTTTAGATTGATATAGTTTCAAATCTCATGAAGGACTTTTAAGTGATTTTTAATTTTTATGATTGTACACAAGTGGATTTTTTAACCTATATAATTTGAACCTGACCTCTATATTTAGTTCTTTGGTGTATTTTTGTTTTATAAATCAAAATCTAGAATTAAACGTTGAATAAGCCCATAATAAACAGCTGTTAAGAATATACAGTAAGTAGTCCCTCGCTAATCCACAGTTCGTTTTTCACAGATTTGCTGTATTGCGGTTTTTCAAAGTAAGATTGGACATGACATAATTGACTGGCAGATGGATGAGCCATGGATTGTTTATTTAAAATAATTATTTTAAATGTTTTTGCACCTGTGTGCAGCCCACAAGTGCAGGGGGAAGCTCCCTCCCTGCAGCCTGTCATGATCTTCGTTCTCTGCCACACACATTTTTCCTGCTGCATCGGCTTTGTGAAAGGTTAGCCCTTCACTGTCCAGATGCACAGATCGACGTTTGTCTTCCAAATTAAAATTCAAAGTATGTCGCATCGTAAAATTGTCATAATCACGAAATATAAGTGTTATAAGTTATTTGTAATCATTTTAGAACTTCATGTTCATTTGTTGTAGTGTAACTGATCAAGAAGTACATTTCTGCTCCATGTTGCTGCTGCTCAAGTGTTAACCCTTTAATGTCCTGCTGCACTCCTCTACAATTTAAATTTAAATACTGTAACATTTTAACTAAACATTCCATGCTGCATGGATTGTTTAGTTAAAATGTTACAGTATTTAAATTTAAACTGAGTGTGATTGCAGCCTGGCACTTGTTGTGACAAAGTTTACTGTTCTTGAACTGAAGCTGAACTTGGACTACTGTATCCCTACTTTGCGGTTTTTCACTTGCCGCGGTGGGTGGGGGTGGCGTGTTAGCGTACGGAACTCCCACGATAAACGAAGGACTACTGTACAACTAAAAAGTTTGTTGCAGTCTTAAAAACATGTTTTTTTTTCTTAAAGTGGGTTAGTGATTACCCCAGCTTCCATCCTAGTCAGCTGGCTTATGTTATGCAGTTTCATTGCTGGCTATCTGTCCATTAACAGCAGAGGGAGGCTGCACTTTGTGTTGTTCATATTACTAATTTACACCTTCACCTCCATCTCCTCAAAGCTAACCAGATCTTCAAGGTTCTCCCTAACGTACGGTACAATTGGATCTTTTTAATTAGTAGTCAGTGGTAGGCCTGTCGCGATAAACAATAAATCAATTCATTGCATGATAAATGAAAATTATCGACTTCATTTTCATTTATCGGCTTTATTGTTTCGTCGTGTGTCTCTTTCTGCTGAAGACACTGGATGACTCCGGCTTGTCAAAGCTCCGGTTGAAACCCGTGCTTTTGTGTAAAAAGTTGTTTTTCTCTGCAAAAAGAAGCTGAGAACTTGTTTACTGATTTTTTTAATTAAAAGCTTTGTGTGACAAATGCTATGCTAAAGAGCTCAAACCACACCGAGCATCCGCCATTTTGAGAACCGCAAAACAGGAACGAGAGACAGCCCATGTCACGTCAAGGGGCCTCCCTCCCATTTTTCTTAAAGACACGCTGCTCGCTCTCTCACTATCCATCCTTCGGTTCAAATCGTCTTATACTGCCATCCAATGGTAAATAAAAGGCACTACACACAAAAATTAACCAACATTTCTTCTTAAATTTAACAATTACTAATTATTGTCAAATTTTAAACAATATTATCGTTTATCACAATAATTTCTGAGACAATTCATCGCCCAGCAAAATTTGTTATCGTGACAGGCCTAGTCAGTGGTATGTTTGGAAAATGGCATTAAACTGAATGCTAATCAATCTAACTAATGAAATACATTTTGTTTTAAAACTCCTGGGGAGAACCTTGAGCCAGAGCATCAAGGATAACTTTGCTGGTTATTTTGTGTTTTGATTGACTCATCTAAATCTCCCTAATTTACAAAAGGTTTATATTTATGGTACTAGATGTTCTGTTGAGGTTTTGTGACATGCTATATACTAACGGTATCTGGCGCAGCTCATGGTGATGTTTACACAAAACTATTTCTCCCCTGCTCAATAGGTACGTTATCGTCGGGAGCATGCATCGGGCCGCCAGCTGCCCTTCTTTCCACTGCTAGAAGACCTCATGAGGGATGTTTGTGATGGAGCTGCACTACTCAGCGTGGTTCATTGCTACTGCCCAGATATTATGAAGTTGGAGGGTATGATGTGATTCATTCACACTTCTGCATGAATACAATCATTGTCTCCAAGAAGGTATTACTAATTATCATTTGCCCACAAAGAGTTTCCTTTATAAACTGCATCAGACTTTCACTGCGTGTATTGAATTTAGTATCTGCTTGTGATCATATTTCTGTTACTTACACATGGCTTACAGCTGCAGTCCTCGCAACGTGACATTTATCGTCATCAGGGCATTGAGCTGCATCCTGATCTGACCTGTTCTCTGCCTGTCTGATCAGATATTTGCCTAAAGGAAGTACCTTCCATCGCTGATAGTCTCTACAACATCCAGTTGCTCAGAGAGTTTGCCACTGAATATCTGAATAAAAGTTGCTATCTGACTACAGAGGATATGCTTTACTCTCCGCTTGTTCTCAAGGTAAAAAATGTGACAGATATTTGTATTTCAAAACAAAATTTTAAATTTAAGTATTCACTATTCTTTAAGAGTTTTTCTGTGTCACCACTCATCTGCAGTCAAGTGTTTGTGACACGTCGCTTGGTTTTTGTCCAGCACAATGTGATGGTGTTTATCGCTGAACTGTTCTGGTGGTTCGAGACCGTCAAGCCAGAGTTTGTTCAACCCAGAGACCTTCAAGAGTTTAAAGATGGTAAGCATCATGTCACATAAAACACAAAATGTAATACTTGCATTAAACCAGTCCATATTTAGACTTTGCTGCCATTTATTTTGGTAAAATAAGCAAATCAAGGGTACAACTAGGCCTGTCGCAATAAATCAATTAACCGCATGATAAATGAAAATTATCGACCTCATTTTCATTTATTGGCTTTATCGTTTCTTCGTGTCTCTTTTTCTACTGAAGACACTGGATGACTAAAAGCTCAACTCCGATGCTCTTCATTGACCTCTCCTTTTCCTCTTTTCTCTTTAAAATCCATTTTAACCGTCCAAAATTGTGTTTTTGGATCGTTAAAAGCAGCTAAGCTGAGAAGCTAAGCTACGAGCTAAGCTAACAGGCCGACCTCAGGGAAAAAACCTCCGTCTTGTCTAAGCTCCAAAATTCACGGTTGTAACCCCGTGCCTTTGTGTAAAAAGTTTTTTTCTCTCTGTAAAAAGAAGCTGAGAACTTGTTTACTGATTTGTTTTTATTAAAAGCTTTGTGTGACAAATGCTATGCTAAATTAATGACTAATTATTGTTAAATTTCAAACAATATTATCGTTTATTGCAATATTTCTGAGACAATTAATCACCCAGCAAAATTTGTTATTGTGACGGGCCTAGGTACAACTAGTCTGAACTAAAGTCTAGTCACCATTTCAGATTTAAATAATGCAAGCCGTTATGTTGAGTTTAATATTTTACACACGTCTTTTTATTTAGCTCGAGCTGTAGCTCATCCCAAGAGTGCCCGCCCATCAGTGCCCATCTCCAACGCCACCAAGCGCAGCTTTCTTGCTAGTCCTGGTGTGTCCGATAACCAGAGCAGCCCTGAAGTCTGTAACAGGTACTTCCTGCACCCTGAAGAATCTGACCCCTTGTAAGTCTTCTCTCATCTTTTTTTACACCCCTCCTCATCATTATCGTCAAATCACTTAGAGTAGCTTTTCAAAGGTAGATGGATAGATAGTGTTGCTTGGTGTTCATTCTCATCAGCCCTTCACTGTCTTGTTTTGCATTTTTAATGTGCTTCTTGCAGTGAGTCTTTGTGTGTTTTATTATACCATTTACTTGGTTGTTGTCTTGAAATGAAATGGGAGGCATCATTCTGACCTAATATAAATTGTGCTTCAGTAGATTTCCTGTCAACCGTTTTACTGACGGTGTTTAAATGACATCCTGATTATTTTTCCTTTATCTCCTAGTAAAGGGGGTCCAACTTTCAGTCCCTCACATCCACTGCTTCCCCTGAGGCAGAGACAACAAAAACACCAAGGAGAAGATGGTGCAGGTAAAGATCCTTCTTCTTTTTTTTAACATTGAAGGCTCAGATTTGCTTCAACTCATATTTTATTCTGCTTTAATTTGAACAGGTCTGAGAAACCGTTCGAACTCCCTGTCTCAGATGGATGGACAGCAACTCAGAGGCTCTGCTGTAGCGTGGCCTGACAAAAGGCAAAGGTGTTTGAAAATATAACAAACACTTGATCTTAAACAAGTTCTACGTTCTTTTCTATGACATTTATATTGAGCACTTTTTTAAAACTCTGTAATTAATTAATGTTGAGCTATCATAACAAATATTTTTCATTAATTTAATTAACGTTTTTGCTAAACTTGCACATCTTTCTGCAGACCCATGTCCACACTCGGTCCCTTCATGTTGCATTCAGCCACAGACAGCGATGCAGATGTGGCTTCTGGTGATAGTGTGAGTCTGGCTCGATCAATTAGTAAAGACAGCCTGGCATCCAATGTCATCAACGTCACTCCAAAACATCAGACTGCTGTCCACCAGCAGTCACTTGCTGCCATGCGAAGAGTCAATGGCCACAACCTACTGAATAATGTTAACACTGAGGACGAGGAGGAAACTCTGGTGGTAGTTTCCAGGACTGATGGTTCTGTCATCCCTAAACAAACTGATGGGTCGCAAGCATCTGCTACAATTTTACCCAAACCTCCTACAGACTCCAAACCTGCTACAGATGGCTTTTACCTTGAACCACTGATGCCTGCTGTACTCAAAACGGCTAAAGAGAAGTCTGTATGTCTGAACAAAGAGGAGGAGAGTGGTGAAGTGTCCCGCTCTACAGGAAGGGGCTCTCTGTGCCGAGGAAACGGATCTTCAGCAGCTGTTCGTAGGAAAGCTCCTTCTGATCTAAACCGAACATTTACCCCTCCAGCTGAGGAAGAAATCTTGTCAGTGGAGCAACAGGCAGGTTTTAGACCGACCGTCACCAGCAGTGTGGATTATTCATCGAGAGAGCCTGCTGAAGGTTTCTACCTTCATTCAGATTCTGAGGAACCAAAGGGTGGTCCTGACCTGGATGCTGAGCTGGAAGACCTGGATGAGGAGGAGGAGGATTTGGATGAAGCGCTTACCACTAAAAACTCAAACTTCCTGGGAAAAATGTACACGGACATTGACGAAAAAGAATCGGCTAAGCTACAAGAGGACATGAATGTCAAAGAGCATGAGGACAAAGACCTGAACGGTGGCAGTGGACGATCCAGTCCTTGTCTCAGCACTCACTCTCAAGCTAGCAGCATGGCCAGTGGCAGCGTGCGCATGACCTCCTTCGCTGAGCGTAAAGCCCAGCAGCAACGCTTCGGCAGCAACCATGACCTGCGCTCCAGTGCCTCCAGCTCCCAAAGGACCACTCCTGATGGATCAGAGAGTAGCGGACCCCTGTCGTCGTCTTGGAGACTAAAGAGAGATCAGAGTCCCTCTTCCCCTTTAGGAGGATGCACTCGTCTGGGCGACGGTACGAACGTACTGGCCTCTGAAATTGTTCAGCTACGCATGCAGCTGGAGGAGAAGCGACGGGCCATCGAGCACCAGAAGAAGAAAATGGAAGTGCTGTCTGCGAGGCAGAGGCAGAAGCTGGGAAAAGCAGCCTTTTTGCACATTGTAAAGAAAGGAGGAGGAAGGAGTGACACATTACCCAACTCACTTAAATCTGACATCTCTAAAGATGAGCTCAACGGGGAGAAGGGACACTTAAGTAAAGATGATATGTGTGTTGATACCCTGAGAGGAGAGAAAGAGGTGGTGGGGACTGTCCCTCCTGGTGCCTTAGAAGCAGACAAGAAGGGAAACAGTGGAAGCTTTTATCTAGACGATGAATTGGACCTAAACGAGTGCAGCCGCTCAATCGAACTACTGAATGAAGCCATCGGCAGCATCCAGCAGCAGATGATGCAGCTGTCACTGCAGCAGGAGATGCTGATGAAACAGAATGTACCGTCTCCACCCGGTGCCGCTCCACCTCCTCACACAGGGGACAAAAACGGGGACCCTAAGACAGGAGCAGGTTTTCACTTTATGGAACACCTCTCTGGCTCTGGCAGCGCTCCAACCAGAAAACCACCCAAACTAACCTCAGGCCGGAGCACCAGGTCCAAGCCATCAGAGCTAAGAATGGCTAAAGATCAGAGCCGGCAGGCCTCCAGGACCCTCACCCCCACACAGACTGGGTCAGAAACATTACCAAACCCAAGACAGTTAACTGGGGGCAGGTCCCCCAGGGCTGAGCAGCCCGACAGCCCCAGAAACCCAACAGCCGGAGAGACTGTGGACAGACTAAGGTCTAGCCATGTCCGGAGCACCACCCTGCGCCTTCACGATGAGGCAAATATGCGCCTGCCAACTCGAGTAGATCTGGCAACCGTGGCTACCCCAGAAGTGTCCTTTGAGTGCCTGTCCAGCAAGACGGGAGAGCCGGAGCTCAATTCTTCAGATGCTTCAGGAAAAGAGAACTTCTCTTCAGAGGAGGCCCAGCAGAACAAATCCCACCTGATTGAGGTCGATCTGTCAGACCTGAAGGCCCCCGAGGATGAGGAGGGAGCGGAGGACACAATGACGGAGGGGGGTGATGGAGAGCAGAAGTCAGTCCTGGGCTTTTTCTTTAAGGTACTGCCTTCTCGTTACCAGAATCTTTAATTGATTATTTAAAAAAAAAAAAATTGTTTGTTGTTTTAATCTACATATTTCTTCAGTACATGAAAATCGTGAATTTAATTTAGTCTTTTGTTTTGCCAAATTATTTCTAGTTTTAATATCTACCTATCTTTGCTGACAAACTTTATTTTAGAGCTACAATAGTCCCTCGCTACTTCACGGTTCATTTATCACGGACTCGCTCTATTGCGGTGTTTCAAAATAAGATTGGACATGACATACTATTGTCCGATTGATGGATGAGCCGCATGATCGGCATGGAATTTTTATTTAAAATAAATTATTTTAAATTATTTAGCACCTGCTGCATATTTGTGAAGCCCAGAGCTGCAGAAAAGTCTTCCTCCTGCAGCTTTGTGCAGCCCTTACTGCAGGATAAAGTTCCTCCTGCAGCTGATCTGCTGTTCACCGTGCAGAGCTGCGAAGCGTGTGTGTGTGTGT